TTGATACCGGTTTGAAGTCAATAGCTTCAGTTTTAAGAGAGTTATGCTCATTTTTGTGGAGTGCTAGAATAGATGTAGAATAAAAAAAAAAAAAACCACAAAATAAAAACAATACAAATAAGCGCGCAATAACGGATTATTTCACCCACCTACCTAAACGTAAAAACAAAGGGGGAGAGAGATAGAGAGCGAAAGAGAGAGAATAAAATAGTAAAACAACAGAGAGAGAGAAAGGTACCACCACAAGCTAAAAGAAAACACTATATAAAGACGGACACACATGCGGACTAATTAGTGACAAAAAAGAAAACACTGAAGATGGCGATTAGCCGAAACCGGTCTGAAAATAATAAAAATTTGACGTGGGATGACGGAAAGTCACCCGAAAACCAATATGATTAAATTATTCAATAAGTGATTCCGAGAATTTCCGTTCTATTTCTATGGAATAAATACTGAGAGTGATATACTAAAATCGCTATAACTCCCAGGAGGGCAGGTATGGGCAGCTGAGTTTTTCACAGTTCGTTGAAAACAAATTATGTAACATTTCTATAGTGGTTTGGAACTGGGACTCTCTGGGACTTTTTAGATATTGCTTACCTAACCCAAATTTAAAGGGAAAATGGACCTTTAGTCGGGTTTTCGCTCTAAAAAAGGTGCATATGAAAATGTCTCAAACAACATTCCTTTTTTTTACAGAAGATACTTGTCCGAAGGCAGATTTTTTTTCCGAATCAATATATCTGTCACCAAAATCAAATGAGATCATTTTGAATACAGCCCTGAAATCCCCTCTTTTCGTGAAAATTTTGTATATTTGACTTCTAAAATCAATTAAAAATCAACGGGCCAACATAAAAATAAGCTTTATGTGTTTTTTGTTTACTTGGAATGTCTGTGACAAAATTGCATCATTAAAAACACTGAAAAAAATAATCGGAAAAAAGTTACTTTTCCACTAGCCGCAACACAGTGCGTTATATGAAAAGCGATCGTAATTTTAGTCCGATTTGAATAACTTTCACCGCTTTGCTTTTATGTGGCAAGCACAATAACCATACCGAGTTTGGTTCAAATTGCTAGAACGGTTAGCGAGATACATATATGTGATCATAAGTGGGCGGTGCCACGCCCATTTTCCAAAATTGTATCATAAGCGTATTTCTTGGTAAAAAATTGTTGCAACCATCAATTTTGAATAAATTAGCTTTAATATTTACTGATTTATCGAGGATGTCGTATTTTTCTAAATTACCGTTATATGGGATGTGGGCGTGGTTATTGTCCGATTTTAAAAATTTTCAGCCATTTGGTATGTTGTAGCAGGACCAACAACTGTCCCAAGTTTGGAAGAAATTGGTGCAGCGGTTACCAAGATATACACATGTAACCATAAGTAGGCGTGGCTACGCCCATTTGCCAACATTTTTTAATATTCTTATTTTTCGTCTAAAACTCATTGTAAATGTCAATTTTGAGTGAATTATCTTCAGTAGTTACTAAAATATTGCACTTTTCGTATTTCTGAAAATTACCGTTATATGGGAGGTAGGCGTGGTTATTGTCCGATTTCGCCCATTTTCAATACCATCCGTCCTATGCCCAAAATAAGTCCACGTACCAAGTTTCGTTAAGATATCTCAATTTTTACTCGAGTTATCGTGTGCACAGACGGACGGACGGACGGACGGACAGACAGTCACCGCTTAATCGATTTCTCTTTTCATTCTGATCATTTATGTATACATTTGTCTATATCTATCTCGATTCGTTTTGCCTGTTACAAACAACCGTTATGTGAACAAAGTTATAATACCCTTGTGCACAAGTGCGCTCGGGTATAAAAAAAATGCAAAAATGTAGAATGAAGTTTCGAAGTTTAACTTCAGAATCGTTATAATTTGGCTCTCAAAGGGCCTAGAGTCTTGAATAAAACGCATTTGTTGTTCGAGTGATATAAAATTGTGTGCAATACATAATGCATTTTTCAAGTTGAAGGGTTAAATTTTTTTTTTTTTTTCGTTTTTTAAGAAGTGAAATCGTATTTCTCGTCTCAAAATCTATAACATAAGTGTAATAAAACATACACAATTTTTTTTTTTTTTTAATTTTTTAAGTTCATGGAGTAATTGTGGCTCAACGGCAATATTTTTCCGTGAAAGGGAATTACATTAGCTTTCAAAACCATTTGTTTCATATCAAAATGTTGCTTCTGTCGAAAGCTCTACGATTAATTCGCATGAAGTGTTCAAAAAGCACACTGTGCGCCGTTTACCGCTGGAATTATGTAAAAAAAATTGCGATATACATTGAAATATATTGCTAGAAGAACAACTGTAAATAACTAAAAAGCAAAAAAGATATTAATGCCGTCTTAGATTACTTCAATAACTCAACTTTTTTATTTTTATTTAATTTTTTAGGCCCTCACCACTTTAATTCAACTATGAAATAAAAATGTTTAGGTTTGAAACTAAATCCAGAACGAATTAAATAGAATATAATCTGAATTAGAGAGGCGAATGCCTAACACTGACGAGATGGCATGATAAGATTAAATGATAGCTTCATGGTTTCCGATACTTTTTGGAATCTGTCTAATGGGCCGATTATACTGGCTTACAGCAAAAATGTTCTATGGATGCCACTATCAAATTCCCATGTAGAATTCCTCGGTGCTTCCGAAAATCGAGATCTTTTTTTCTATGGATAACTTTTCAAAATATTTCCAATTTACCGTTATTCAGCTTTAAAAAATAGTGGTTTCACTTAATCACGTATATCTTACGAACCAATTGAATACTCGGAAATGAAAGCAAATAAAATTCTCCATAAACCGTAAATACATCACTTTTCGATAGCCCTGATAGTTTCTGAGAAATTAATTAATCATTTCTGACACCTCTTATTTTCGATGCAAACACTCTACCTGTATTGGATACATTCCCTTGGTTAATTATAATAGTCAGGGCTGTCATGGAATCCAATTGTTGTCGGAATTGGATTTGAAAACGACAAAAAAATTATTTTGGTGTCATGAAATCCAATGTTATCGGTTTTATGTTCGAATCGGAATTAGTGTCGATTTTAGGTGTCACAGAAATCAATAATATCGATTTTGCTATCGGAAACAAACCAAGCAGCTAACAGCTCTTGGATTTCATTTGTTTATTAGTTTTTCTTACTTCCAGTTAGACATTTTATAAAAATGTGAGTAAAAGAAGGTTTATTTTATAAAAATAATTATTAATGTATTCATATTTTTATTCATAACTAGGGGAAAGCATAAAAATGCAACTCAAAACAGCATTATCGTGGAATTTATGGAGAAATATCCAGATATTGCGAGAGGCTTTACAAAGCGGGATAAACCAACTGTTGATGCCCTTTGGCAACAGTTTAGTTGAGTCGCTGAACAGTGCAGGTCCACCACAAAAGGATACCAATGGATGGAAAAAGGTAAAGCATAATTGGTGCTATAAATTAAATCGTGCCTTAAACTTACACTGTTTTTTATATACATATGTATAGACGTGGACGGAGTAGAATAGTGACATAAAAAGAAAGCTCGCACAAAACAAAAGCGAGTCTCGAGCAACTGGTGGAGGACCCTTTTCTAAGCACCAACTAACGCAAACGGAAGAGACAATAGTGCGCATATGTGGCATTGCACAGTCTGTGGTTGGTGTGGCTGGCAATGCAGTTGGCCTCAGCGAAGATTTAGTTTGTGCAAGTGAGGATGAAATGCCATCAACATCATCGAAGCGGCCAATGTCTCCAGTCAGCAGCACTCCTAAAAGACAAAGGACAGATAGTACTGGGAAGCGTTTGAAACAATTTCTCGATGAAGACAACGAGAGAAAGCTCGAAATAAATGAAAAACGAGCTAATTAAGATTGAAAAAGAAAACGACAGTAGCCTCAGACGAGTGTATAGAGCCATAAAAAAAAGCAACGAATCTGTCGCGAATGCAGTAACTGAGCTCAAGGATGAATTTGTCCGTATTAATACAGGTGTTTTGCGAGCGATACAGGAAAAAAACGAAATAAAAGAAAAGCAACTCGAGCTCGAACTCCTAAAGTTTGATTACGAAAAACAGAAAGAAAAGTAATTTCCCTTTTAAAAAATGTCAAAAAAGTGTTGGTTGTGGTCGTTATAGTACCTAAAAATGTGCCTTATTTTATTGTTATAAATAGTTATATAAGTTTTAGAAAAATGTATTTACTTATTAAATGAATTTTTGTTTTGTTTTAATGAATATATATGCGTGTTTTTTAAATAAATAAATATGTGTTTTTTTATTTTTTAATAAATAAATATTTGAATTTTTATTCAGTTGGTTTGCTATAAACTGTTGGCTATTTCATCCCTCATCCTTTTACCTTCACTTTGCAGTGTTCCGTTCGGTGGAGATTCAACATTTTCATCAGTATCATTTGATGGTAAAGTAATACTGTCGTCGTTATATTCCACGTTGTAGTTTCTGCAGATATTGTGCAGCGCACAGCAAACATTTATAATTTTCACCACTTTTTCTGGCCGATAGTGCAAGGTGATCAATAAGCAGCGAAATCGGCTTTTCAGCACTCCTATTGTTCGCTCCACAATATTTCGAGCGATGAATGGGCCAAATTGAACTTATATTCTTTGGAGTTGTAGCGTGGATCTCTGTATGGTGTTAATAAAAAAGGTTCTATGCCATATCCACAATCTCCTAACAACTTTGATGTCCGGTCAACTGACTCATACTTCTTGAGGAAATATTGTCTGGCGCTACTAACGTTCCATACGAATGAGTCATGGCTAGAGCCGGGATAGCGTGCATCGACCGCTCGAATTTTCATGTGACCATCACAAATCTAAATAAAAATGTACATACATATACATATATAAATCAGTTTTACAAGGCAATGTACGAGTAAAATGAAGATTCATTATTACTTGCAATCATGGCATTCATACTGAAATATCAATTTCGATTATAAAATAAATGTTCGTCAATACTCGGCTTGATGATTTTTATGTGTGTCCCGTCGATGCAACCAATTATTGAGGGAATTTTGTACTTTAAGAAAAAAATAGTCTCTTGATCTGCGTTTTTCGGTGCCGTCCATTTCTAGTTTCACCCACTGAGGGCAAATGAACCGCTCCATAACCTTAAGCACATCATCTAAAATCGTTGACACCGTGCTTCTAGCTACACTTATGCTAGAGTCGTTCCCGACTGATCTTTGATAGGATCCTTCAGCTAAAAATCGCAACGAAGGTGCTAACTGCAGCACTGGTGGAACTTTCGAACGTGTCAAGTGCCCTTCAGTGGTGTCAAGCACCATTCGGAAAGCCTCTTTGTTTAGGCGATAATATGCTATGAAACTGCAAATACGCTATAAATATTTATAAACGCACATTAAAAAACAATCTACTTACGCTGTCTCAGGCAGCTCAAGTGGATTGCTGCAATCTCTCAAAATTTTTCTTTTAACTTTCTCGGAACTTTCTTCTTCCAATAAGAGAAATGCGACAACTGCGGATGTCATTTTGCGCTCACTTATTTTTTTTTAATTAATGAAAACAATTCAATTTTATAAAATTGTGTCAAAAAAATATACATTCAAATTATCGCCATACACACAAATGTGCAAAACAGCTGATTCGAACATCGGTTTTGGTTATGTTCGAAAAGAGCAAAACCAATCCGGTTTCATGACACCAAATGAAACCAAAATTGGTTTGTAATTCCGACAAAATGCAAAACCGACTTGGATTCCATGACAGCCCTGAGTGACACCCTTTATTACTTATGCCCACATTACCATACCTACCTGTTATACTTATATACATACATACTTTTCTGTTGTATTGCATACCAAGCTCTCTTGTATTTACTACTCTTATAATCACTCTCGCTAGTCAACATTGTATATATTGTATTAAGTATTTTTCCAACAACCACTCAATAAACGGTCTTCAAAAGGGTCACACCATCTTATTATTACACTACCTATTCAGGTGTACGTCGCGTATGAGTAACACTCTTTTCTGCTAATATTTCATACAGAAAATCCTTGCGCATTTTCATTCGACCAATCATTATTTTGTTATTTACATATATATCTATTTTCCTCATTGGTAGCTTAGTATTTTTCTAAAGGAACAGGCTTTAACACAAGAGCAAATTATTTACATAGAAACTGTTATTTTTTTCCTTTTTTTCCCTGTTAAAGTTTGAATTTTTAGCGTTTTTCCATAAAAAAAAAAATCTATAGATCTATAGAATGATTAATTAATTTCTCAGAAACTATCAGGGCTATCGAAAAGTAATCTATATACGGTTTATGAAGAATATTGCCGTACCTCGTATTACGATTATTTAATTGGTTCGTAAGATATAACTGATTAATTGGAACCATTATTTTTTTTAAGCAGAATAACGGTAAATTGCAAATATCTCGAAGACGTATCCATTAGGCTGGGTCGATTTTGTATGGGGGAAAATAAAAGTCATTTGACCGCATTGTAATAGTAATATTATGATGTCTTAGGTCTAAGCCAATTGTTATTGGCCAAGAAAGATTAATTTAAAACTTATCTTTAGCCCGCGCAATTGAATCAAAGTGTATAAATGTTGAAAATGAAACCTTGGCTTGAAATATCTATGGAATGCGTTATTTTTATGAACAGAACGATATATCAAATTAAGGGCTATTAAATTTAGTACCTCACGTTCATTTATCATTTTTCAATAAGTCTATACGTTTTTACGATATTAAGATAAAACTTACAAAAACTATAATTTTCCCTTATGAATTTTCAATTCTTCATTACTTCAGCAAACAAGTGAAAAATACAAAAAAGTGAGACGAGATTTATTTCAAACGTTTTAATATTTTCGGATGTTTATATAACACTAAAATGACCAGTTTTCAAGTTCGTTGTGAATGAATGTATTGTCAAAGAATAGGAATCGTTTGACAAGTTAATAGTAGTTTCAAGCATATAAGTATTTGCATACATTAACATAATACAATTAGGGTGAGAAACGCCCATTTTAAGTCTATTTATGCAGTATTGAAAATTAGTGCGGAATGGTTTCATTAGTCACCAGAGAAGCACATTTTTCGCGGTTTCTAAATTTGCCGTTGTATGAAAGTAGGGACGTGCAATAAGTGTTTAGATATACATAAATATTTTAGTTAATTCCATTATGTGAAAAAGTGTCTGTAGGTAAATGCAATAGTCTTTAACATATCCTGGGAAATCCTTTTGAGGACTCTCCAATTGGACGATATTGCTTTGCATTCAGCTTTAACGAAAAAAGTCACTCGCTGGCACAGTTTTCTGTAATCCGGTTCTTTTATTTAAAGGTTATTCATACAATTGAAGAGAATTTTTTTTTAGAAAAAAACTGGAAATCCACTTAATTTTTTCGATTTAACTTTGGTAAATGTTACTCGATCGGTACGTAATAATTATCAAATTGAAGGCGAGACTTACTGTTACTGATTTATGATAATAATATCATGAAAATATAATAGATTATAAACCGATTATTTTAAAATAAAAAAATTGTGAACAAAATTTTTTTGTCATTTTGCTATATTTGCAACTTTTAAATTGTATGCATAAACATAAGTAAACTCATTAGCGTTTCTAGAAGTTGTGCCTGTTCAGTGTTTCCATACTCATTTGCATAAACAAAATTTTTCCACGATGATGGAAAATAATGGCTATTCTATTAGAGCTACCGAAATTGTTCCTAAATTTGCGAAAATTCGCAAACTATAGCCAATATTCAAATAAGATTAGAAGCAGAAACCGAGAGTTTTCACTTGCACTTGCACATGATAGATCAACCAAGCCTACAATAACATTAAAAAAAAAAAGATTAGAATATTTGGGACCAGCGATCTAAATGCACGTCAGCAATATTAATGCTGTTCTTTACATCTTTTGAAAATAGGCCAGTGCAATTATCAAGAGAACAATTAAAATTTTCTTGAAAATAGATAAGTTTGAGATTAACGGTAAGCTAAAGTGCTGCGAGAAATGACATTCGACTTTATCTTTTGCGTTAACGGATTTATTATCTAATAATATGCACAACCCTTTTTACTGGACCCAGAATTTTTAACAAGAATTGGTCTTATTCGACTAGTGTGCTGTGGGTCACTTGGCGGTCGATGCGCGGGCTCTCACAGTTAAAATAAAATACTAATATTTTGCAGGCTTGTTGTTGACTTCATGATACAATATATTTTCACTATTACCAAGGGATTTGAGAAAAATTAGATTTTCGACCCGCCCTAGTATCCATACAAAAAAAAAATTATCTCTATTTTCGGAATCAGCGAGCGATTTTACATTCAAATTGGATAGTGGCGTCTGGAAAACAAAATCCAATTTAAAATTTGTGATCCAGTGTTATTTTTAAAGTCAGCGACGCCGCCGCCACAAAGCCTGTGGGCGTAAACCTCTTATATGAATATATGTATGTGTTTAAATCAGCGTTGGGCAGAGAGAGCTTTTGCTCTGCTCGCGCCTATGCAAAATGTATAGAAAGCTTAAAAGAGCTTTGCCCGCGGCAAGGCAGTGCCCATCGGTGGTTTAAATTCATATATAGGTACATATATATGTATGTATGTAGTTGTAAGTGCATACTCAAAGGTCTAAGATATGCATATAAATCACTAGAAAAAAATGCATTAAATCACAATTTTCGGCATTCACTCACACAATATATCAAAACTGATGGAAACTTTAACTTAAAGACAATATAACTCAAACTTATTTGTAAAATTCCATAAATTTCACGTTTCTCATTTTTAATGCCAAATTTTAAGCTAATAGAAAGTGATATCTTTTATCAATTTAAATAAATATACATTTTAAAATTCGTTCTGTTTTTCCACAAAAGACTGACGATTTCATATGTACTACCGATTCATATTAAATTTATGTGAAAGAATTTTCCAAATCATGGGTCTCTGCTTGTGAAAATTTGAACGTAATTTGTTTACATTTACTATTTTTTCTTTTTAAGTTTTCAGAGATGGAATCACTGAGAAATCTTGTTATTTGGCTATTTTTCTATTGTGCAGTGCAGTTTGCTTTTATCTTCGGCACTCATAGGCACGTTAATGTATGTGTATGTATATGTACATACATACCTAAGTATGCGTACATAAGTTTATCGCACACTTCTTCAAAAGAGGTATAACTTATACAAAATTTAGATAAATTTTTTGCATAAATCAATTCGTAGGATTAATTAATTATTTATTTATTAATGCAAATATTTTTTTCTTCATGATACTCATCTCTAACTAGAAAACTACTGTTTTACCATTTTGTGTCTTATTTGCATTGAATCTGTACGATTCATTAGAAAGTATTTATTCCGGGTACTACTTCTGAGTTGTGCCTCTTTTGAAGAGGGTGTGCGTTATGTATGCATATACATAGAGAGTACATATATACTAGGGCATTCAATCCCGGGATCCTGAATACCGGGATTCCGGGACCCCGGACACTTTTCCATGTCCCGAAATCCCGGGATTACAACTCCGAGATTTTTACTGATTCATTTACAGAATGAAAGATATGTTGAAAACGAAAAAAAGAATTTATATGACTTGAAACGGGAGAAATACAGAACACTAAAATTTGGATTCAAAGTGAACTTGAGTCATTTGCACTTGGAAGTGAATTTCAGGAACTGCCTGAATAACTGTACTTGTTCAAATATTTTGTGCAAGAACTGTGTAATAACGAAAAATCTGGTAGCAATTCAGAACACAACAAGCTTTTACAGTGGGGCAGAATTGTTCTTCATTTTACTTTGTTGGCCTTTTTTGGAAAAGGATTTCTGTAAATATGAGTAAATGTTTTTGACAAGTAATATATATATTTTAGAATGAAAAATACTTAAACATCAAATTACATACTCTTTTACTAAGGAACATTATGCTCCCCTAAGACCAAATGTTTTGACAATGAATCTGTGTGGTTTGAAAAAGGCGAACCTACTGTAAAATGCAAAAGGTTGTTGTGATGCCGAAATCCCGAAAAATCTCGGGATACCGGGATTAGAATTTTTACATCCCGAGATCCCGGGATTGTTAAAATGCTTCGGGATTGAATGCCCTAATATATACATATGTGTACATATGCACACGTTCCTTATAAATGTATGCTTGAATGCATGTACATAGGTATTGTACATCCATACACATATGTGGACTAATCTACATACTAGGAATGTTAATCCCGGGATCCCTGGATCCCGGACTTTTTAAGGTCTCGAAAATTTTCGATTTTCGGGATTTGTAATTTGCACTGATGGCAATAATAGAAACTCCTTTTCTTGACCAGTATTGGCTATATTTCTTTTTATACCTTTCATGAGCATGAAATGGTGTTATAACTTTGGTCCGATGTTTGTAAGTACCAGAACAAAAAGAGATAGACCCATTAAAATGTATACTTATTTGATCAGAACGTCGAGCTGAGTTGATTTATCCAGGTCCGTGTCTGTCTGTCCGTCTGTCTGTCT